TCGCGCCTCGTGCCGGGATGCGCCCGGCCACCCCTGGGTCCCGCGGCTCCGTCAGGGATGCGGCGAGAAGGGCAGCTGAGCTCTCTGCGAACAACGGGCCTTTAGTTTTTAGGTGGCAAAACTGACTGGTCTGGTTTGAGCGCAGCCACGCCAAGCCGCGGTGTTTGAATTATTAAATTTCTCCTCAGTGAAAAATAGCAATCGAGATGGAGCCATCTGGTTGGTGCCATTTTAACTTTTGGTCCACCTGAGGTTAACGATGAGTACCCACCACAGACACACCTGCCTCTCCCCTCTCTGCATGGAAGGGGGCCGCTTTCCTAAGGGAAGGTCTGAAGTGGAGGGCGGGCGTTGGGACCGGGAGCTGGCGGCCGGCGGCTGCGAAGAGCCAGCCGGCGAGGAGGCACTTGTTGCTCTAGGTCTCTCAGCCGCCTCCGGCAGCCGCTTCTCAGTGGTCAGCTCACGGGTTGGACAGCGGACTGAGACGTTTTCGCGTCGCCAAGTTTTGCTCTCCAGTGTGTGGGGGGGGTGGTAAGATGGGGAGAACAGAAAAAAGGGGGAGCGGGGTCAGGGATACCGATCGAAATTGGATTGCCTTGGGATGGATTGAACGACACTTAATTGATCGCCTACCGAGCACGGACCCAGGGTCAGGGGTTAGGGCGTGCAGCGAGGTGTTGCCAGAGGTGACACAGCTGAATGGAGGTGCAGGATCCAGCTCTCGCCTCAGGAGCTCACAGCCTGAAAGGGGAGACAGGGTAAAATGGTCTTCAGACGAACTGATACCAGATTCGAGATACATTTCTCCCCCTCTCCCCCTCTCCCTCTCTCCAGTTAATGTTTCTGTGTGTGTGTGTGTGTGTGTGTGTGTGTGTGTTTCTTTTGTACAAGCGGGTACTAGGCTGCGTAAAGGAGAGGGGAACGCTGGTTAGGAAGGGGGAAAGATGGGGAGGGCGCCCAGGTATTTTTCTTCAGACTTAAAATTTGCCTGATACTGAATGTGCCTTGGTTTTTTAAGATAGTTTGCATAGAGTCCTTGTCTTGCGATCACTGGCTTGAAATACTTTAGGGTTGCCTCAGAAGAGCAAGACTTCAATCAAGCAGTGGTGTAACCCAGCAACTGATTTTTTTCCTTCGTGTTTTTTTTCCCCTTTCTTTCCCCATTTTCCTTGCTCCCCAGCTATAAGTAAGTGATCAGGACAAAGATGATACACAGAGGCAGTGAGTGGCCACTTTCTAGAAGTGTCTGAGCAGAGTCCTAATGACCACTCAAGCTAAAGGGAGAGAGAAAGAGAATCTTAGGGAATTCGACCCTCCTTGAAAAGATTGAAGACTTTTTTTTTAAGCTCCTCAGGATTCTTTGGATCAAGAAGTATTTATAAATGTGGAATTCTAAATCTCTAATTGACCATGAAAGCTAGAATACACGGGGCTTTTTTAAAAACAAGCTTCTAGGAAATTACCTTGAGAAAATTTTCAGAAGTTTTAAAAATTTTCTGGTGTGGGAGTATCCTTTTGTCCTCATCTTATCTTCTCAGCATTTGAGCCAGAGAATCATTTGTTTGGAAGGCATCTGAGTCATTCCAGGTATAAGGACTTGGCCAGTGGTCAGGTGAGACACGTGGGCATAGGAGTGCTAGATTCTGCTCCCAGAAGCACTGCCTCCTGACTGGAAGGCCATTGAATATCCATGCCTCAGTTTCCCTCCAGGAAGAATTATTCCCACCTGTCACTACAGATGAGTGCAGCTGGGCTCAGGGTTCCTGGGAAAGCCTAATGCTGGAGACAGTCTTGGAGGGGGCTTGAGACATGCAGGAAACAGATATTCTATCTGCTCTCTGGCTCCTGCTGCCTCAGAACCTACAAACTACCCTGACTGGCCCAGCATCTCACAGACATGCCTGGAGTAGGGCTTTGGAGCCCATGACACTTACTTGTGGATTTGTTGCTTTCCCATGCTGCAGCCTCCAGCTTTTGAGATCTTACTTGCCCTGAATGCTTCCCACATTCCCCCAATCACAGTGGAGCCCTCAGATCTCCAATTGAAACACTAGTGGTCCACCGACAAGGTACCCTGCATACTCAGGAAACTTCCTGCCCTCAAAACCAGGACCATACCATCCTATACTCCTATCTCCAGCCCCAATTTAGAACTTAGAAGTAACTTTCATGAAGAATAGTGTCCCCTCTTGACAGTGTAGGTAGCTGGCTGCCTGGGCAGCACCTGGTTGAATCAAGCACCTCGTAGCCTCAGGTAAAGTTTCAGCGTGGTCTCTTTCCTTAGCCCAGGTGGTCTCTAGTCTTAGGTTTAACCCTGTCATCACCCTTGCCTTGCAGCTGTGTGGAGTTGCCCTGCTTGGGGCTTCACAAACGCTTTCTTGGTCAGTGAAGCCTTTTGCCCTTATCATTTCTTCTCCCTTACAGAACCAGCTGGCAGTGTCACCTACAGCCAATCTATTCCACTTCTGCCAAGGCTCTGAAATGCCAACTATGTCAAGGCCTGCACTGGATGTCAAGGGTGGCACCTCCCCTGTGAAGGAGGTGAGTTTTGCTATTTTGCAGATGGAAACACAGAGGCAAGAAAGGACAAACTATTGGAACATCATGTGCTAGGCCCTCCTAGCTGTGATATCTAGCTAGTGTCCTTGGCAGAGAGAAGACATCGCTTTTCTCTGGGGAGAATGAGAATAATTTTTGCCCATGTGTGATCAATATTGAACCCACCATGGGAGTTGAAAGGTGGCATGGAAGGGAGCAGAGAAACAGAAATGAAACAAGACCATCATATTAAAGAGATTAAAGTGAGGCTAAAAAGAGGTCCAAGGGAAAGTCCTTTTTTGAAAAGTGGGGTGAAGGGTCCTGGGAAGGAGAAAAACGCTGTCAACTCAGGATGGTGGGTGCCCCATCACAAGAACTGGGGTCTGAACTCTGCTCAGACGTGGTACCAAGAGAATACTTGGGTTGAGGGCCTAACTTTCAAGGAGTTCATCCTGCTGCCTCCCTACCTCTAGTCCCAAATGAAGTGCATGAAGGAACCTTCTCATTCTGATGAATGGTGAGGACAAACCAGGAGCAAGGGTCCTATGGTATGCTTTTCTGTGTCTTCTAGGATGCCAACCAGGAGATGAATGCTCTGGCCTACTCTAACCTAGGGGTGAAAGATCGAAAAGCAGTGGCCATCCTGCACTACCCTGGGGTGGCCTCAAATGGAACCAAGGCCAGTGGGGTTTCCACTAGCTCCTCGGGATCTCCATCTCCAATAAGCTCTCCTACTGCCACCCCTCCCACTAAGCCCCCACCCTTCAACCTGCACCCTGCCCCTCACCTGCTGGCCAGTATGCAACTGCAGAAACTTAATAGCCAGTATCATGGGATGGCCGCTGCCACTCCCAGCCAGCCTGGGGAAGCTGGGCCCCTGCAAAACTGGGGCTTTGGGGCTCAGGTGGGAGGAGTGGGAACCCTTTCTCCTACCGGTGCCCAGAGCCCTGCTATAATCGATTCAGATCCGGTGGATGAGGAAGTGCTGATGTCGCTGGTGGTGGAACTGGGACTGGACCGAGCCAATGAGCTTCCGGAGCTGTGGCTGGGGCAAAATGAATTTGACTTCACCGCGGACTTTCCCTCTGGCTGCTGATGCCAAATATCCCTAAAGTTGGAGGAATAAAGCCACCAATTCTGTTGTAAATAAAAATAAAAGTTACTGCAGAGACAGGCTGACTGGAGGTGTTCTTCTTGGAGCCCTACAGGTGTGCAGTGTGGTCTGATGTCTTTCCAGAAATTCAGAGGCTCACAGTGGGAGCTGTTGTCCACATTCCTGCTGCCACTGCCAGTGCCCTTATCTCCGCAGGAGTCCAAGTATCTACCTTCCTTGTGCTGAGGCCTCAGGAACCCTGTCCTTTCTATTCAAGGTTGACTACAGGGGCTGGTTGGGCATTCTTGGAAGAGGAGACTGACTGAAACCTTTCTGTAGCCTCCTCACCACTGGTACATCAAGTTCAAAGGCACATCCCTGTCTACATGGCACACACTTCACTAACTCTAAGAGGCACCAGTCCCCGGTCAGTGTGGTGGCATACACCTGTAATCCCAGCACTTCGAAGGCTGAGGCAGGAGGATCACTGGGAGTTGAGTTTGAGACCAGCCTGGACTACATAGCGAGACCCTGTCTCAATAAATAAATAAAAACAAACTAAAGCACCAGTCCAATTGGCTCATTAAGGCCATTGCTTTCCCTTTTGCCTATGTGCAGTAAATCCAAAAGTTTCTATCACCTGGGAGCTCAAAATTTGCTTGGCTCTGGGAGTGCCATCTGGCCAGACTAGTAACGGTCTGTTCCAGTTCAAAAAAAAAAAAAAAAAAAAAAGAGACAAATTATTTGTAGGAAAATGGATGTACCTTGAGACTATATTGCTAAGTGAAATAAATTAGACACAGAAGGTTAAATATCACCTGGTTCCTCTTATATGAAAAGCCCAAAATATAAATAACAGTAAAAGAAAATATAAATAGGAAACAGGTAGACTTTGTGGAGATGGAAAAGGAAGCTTAGGATAGGGAGACATGGGAGGGTGGGGAGAAGAGGAGAAGTAAAAATTACTAAGATGTAGTATGTATATGTACCAATTGTCCAAGATAAATGTAAGTATTATATATTGCTAATATATACTCATTTGAAAAAAAAACAAAGGAAAATTGCAAAAACTAGATTCCACTATTAAACTGGTGTCACCTAACTCCTACCTTCCTGGCCCACCTTGTTTGGGGTCAGCCTGCTTGGGCTGGCCTCATCTTAAAAATTCAGGTCAGCACTGGACTTGACAAGTTTAGGGCTATATCCCTTGCCTTCAGTTAGCTACTGTGGCAGCAGTGGCTTCAGAAGTGTGCTAAGGGACAAGTCAGTGGCACTTCTGTGGCAATCCTGACTTTGTGGGGCCCCAAAGCATCCCTGCCCTCATGTAAGCAAAACCCAGTGGTCTAGAGGCTGCCACCCACATTTCAGACTCTTAGAGACATTATTATGTGAATACTGAAAACTAAACCAGTCTCTCAGGATCAGCATCAGGCCTGCCCCACAGGAGCACTTTGGAAGGAACCACTAGTGAAGGAAGGTACTTTATTGAATTTGGCACTCCCTAGACATGCGCTCTGGACCAAGCTCTTTACGAGGAGCATGAATTAGATAAAGTTCGTGCCTTTGAGGTGATTTCCTGTCTCAGAGGGAGAAAGGCACAAACAAGTTATAATAAACCAATATTTTCTAGATCACAGGACACAGTTTTATTTGATCCCAGAAAAGGAAACAGCTCCATCTGCCTGAGAAGTCCGGGGAAGGCTTTCTGGTATTGAATGCTTGTTTGTTTTTGTATCTCACAAATAATAAATACATGATATGATCTCCTTGTATAAAAAAATAGAAGGGCTGGGTGGTGTGTATCAGTAGTAGAGTCCTTGTCCAGCATGCACAAGGCCTCGGGTTTGATTCTCAATATCACAAAAAAAAAAAAAAGAAAAAAGAAAAGAAACTTCAGCTAAAGTACCCTTTGACCAACTCTCTCCCTCAATCCTGATTGCCTCGGATCCTCCACAGAGGTAACAATGGTTTATGTTTGTGGTACAACCTTGGTGTCCTTGCTCCGCACCTTGACATGAAGATGTATCTACCCATAGAAAGAACTGGATTTTAAAATAAGATGTGAGTCAGCGACATAGAGAATAAGCCAAGAAACAGCTGCTACATGGGCGCAGGTTCATGGAGGGCATGGTGAAAGCCCAGAATTTCAGCAAGAAGGCTCACTGAGCTGGTGGAGGACAGGCAAGTAATGAGGCTGAGAAAAGCTGGGATGAGGCCTTCTGGGAGCAGGCCTTCATCCTTAGTGCCACAGTCCCGTGGCTTGTGGAAAATCTCTGGAGGTTTGTAGGAAGGTAAATAATTAACCAACTTTGATTTGGGGGATGATGATGCCACTGGAGATGGATGCACAGAATTTATCTAAGACTGGGAGCTGAGAAATAGGTGTTGAGGAAGCTGGTGAGTCAGGGGCAAGAAAATGGAGAGCGAAGAAAAGCAGTCCGGAAGAAAGTAGGGGGCACAGGGAAAGCTCCAGGGACCAGACTCTGCAAAGACAAGAACAGAAGATCAAAGCTGGGTGTACTTGGCAAGTTCAAGCCCCACCTGGGAAATTTATCAACTTATGAAGATCCTGTCTCAAAAAATAAAAAAGAAGGGCCAGAGATGTAGCCCTAGGTTCAATCACTAGCACAGAAAAAGAAGAGGTGGAGAAGGAGAGCTATATGAAACTGGAAGTGAAGGTGAAGGAGGAAGGCTTCGGTCAGCTGGTGAGTCTCAAAATCAGCACAGCTCCTAGTGACACAAGAAAATGTGTGGCACAGGAGGGAGGGATGAACCAGAATAGCAGGATGTGAAAAGACTTTTAAAAAGGGAGAGTCCCAGGGTCCCTCCTATGCTGGGACCTTCACAAAACATGTTTCTGGAGCTAGCCATGGTGGCACAGGTCAGTAATCCCAGCACTCTGGAGGCTGAAGCAGGAGGATCACTGTGAGTTTGCAGCCAGCCTAGGATATATAATGAGTTTAAGATCAGCATGAGCTACAAAGTGAGTTCAAAGCCAGCCTGAGATACATAGTGAGACCCTGTCTCAAAAAATAATAATAAAGATAAAAAATGAAATATGATTCTGACCAAACAAAACAGATCAACAGGCTGGATTCATTACTTGGTCCCCAGCTTGTTACCCCTGGTCCTTGAGCTTTAGAACTTTCAGGATGGCAGCACCACTTATAAAGACAGGCCTGAGTCAGGGGTCACTTCTATGAAAGGAAAGCTGTCTGGGAATCATGGAGGTGACAGATACAGTAGGGAGGCAGGTGGCGGCAGGGAATAGCCTGGCACTCCCTGGTGTCCTAGTGAATCCCTAATAGGGTTCTCCAGAGAAACTGAATAAATAGGATGAGAGGGGGGGGACTAGAAATTGGCTCATAGGATGATGGAGGCCAAGGAGTTCTACAATCTGCCTTCTGCAAACTAGAGGCCCATGCCAGCCTGTGATGTAATTCAGTCTGAATCCAAAGACCTGAGCAGGGCAGAGCGTAGCAACAGTACAGATCCCAACCTGAGTCTGAAAGCCTGAGATTCAGGAGTCCCAAAGTCCAAGGGCAAGAAAAGATGGATGGCCCAGCTCAGACAAAAACAAATTCAGCCTTCCTCTTCCTTTTTGACTATTTGAGCCCTCAACAGATTAAGCAATGCCTACTCAAATAGGGGAGGACCAGCTGGGCATGGTAGCGCACACCCCTAATCCCTGCCCCTGAAGGCTGAGGAAAGAGGATCGATGTGAGTTTGAAGCCAGCCTGGGCTACATAGTTCAAGGCCAGCCTGAACTACATAGCAAGACCCTTCTTTACCCGGTCTACTGATTCAAATGACAGTCTTCTAGAACACCCTTCCTGACACACCCAGAAATAACGATTTACCAGATGCCTGGGCATCCTTTAACTCACCTAAAATTGACCATCACACCTAGAGAAGGTGCTTCTAAATGTGGAGGAGAGCAACTCTGCCTCCTGATGTCAGCAGCCAGAAATGTGGCCAGCTGAGTAGTCTTTCCAGAGGATTTGGAGGGAGAGCAGAGGAGGAGTATATCCTCCAGGGAGAATCTGCTCAAGGGAGGATGTGAGACAGGAATTCATTACTTCTGGGGAAGGAGAGGGAGTGAAGGAACTCCTTATTGCACAGTGCAGGAAGGCAAGCAAGGCTCCATCCCTGCCAGCTACTTTATGTTCACGCCTCTAATAGCACAACCCCAACCCTTCGTTCATTTGGTTTCCAAAAAGTTCCAGAAGCCAAGTCCAAGTGTTGCCTTGGCATCGACCCTAGGGACCAGGAGGTGAACACACAAATAAGAATCACTACTTACCTGCAAGGAGCTTGCAGCCTGGAACAGATGGAGATGTGTAACCAAGAGTGCATTGTAGAGCCCAGGGGCTGTGCTGCTCCTTGGGGGCAAATCAGAGACAACTGTCCCTGTTCTCAAGGAACTCACAGTTCAGTAGCAAGACAATTATAGCCATGAGGGATCAATTCTACAAGGCAGTAATGCTGGTGAGGGGTTGAGGGGAGGTCATGACCTCCAGGCAGAGGGAACAACTGGAGCACAAATAAAGAGATAAAATTAGAGCATGGTATAAACCAGAACAGAATATCAGAAAGTCCATGGCTCTCTCAGGGAAGTCAAAAGCCCTGCAGCTTGACTTCCTGAAAGAGGAGAAATGAGAGAGAAGAATTGGAATTAGATCCTGTGTTCACTTCTACTTTATTCCTTGGGTGAGGGAGAACCTATCATTTCATGAACATGAATTGAGCACCTACTATGTGCTAGGCGCAAGCTAAGTACTGGGAATATGTGGTGAGCGATTGTTTTTGCTTTCATGGTGCTTCTAGTTTAGCAAAGAAATAGACAATAGCAAATAATCATGCAGATAATTAAATCTACAAATCATGAGAAGTTATAGAAAAGAAGTACAGGGTTCTATGAAAGAGTGTAATGGGGTAGGGAGCTTAATCTTAACTGTGGTGTCCTTAATTCCAATCAGGGTGTCAGGTAGGGCCTCCAAATCAGGTTTTAAATAAAGGAGTGTTGTAGTTAGAGCCTGCATGAGGGAAATTAATCGGGCAATAGTGTGTGTGACAA